CTGTAAGAAGGTAAGGCTCCCTATGGGAGGAAGGAGTTCAGCATGGACCTGAATGCTAAAAGTAAGGGACGAGACTGAGAGATCTTAGAGAATTTGCTTCCAGTCAAGTAGCTGACTCAATGGAATTCACAAATATTAATTTATTTAAATCAAAAAATATTTTTGGAGCCCCACAATGTGTTAGGTACGATGCTAGGTACAAGGGATCAGAATTCACTCCCCCTTGCCTGCTATTAGCCCGCACGCCAATAAGTTGAGAGAGGCAATAAATGAGAATAAAATAAATAAATCATATTGCTGAGAAACTAAAAAGAATGATGAAATGAGAATGAAGGGTGAAGGGGTGGGCTGCTCTATCAGGAGAGGTCAGGGAAAGCCTCTCTAGGAGGCGATGTTTGGGCTGAGATCTGATGACAAGAAGGAGCCAGCCATGTAAAGTTCTAAGGGAAGAGCATTCCAGGAAGGAAGGACAGCTGATGCAGAAGCCCTAGGTGGGAGCAAGATTAGCATGTTTGAGGGAGAAGATGATTCAGGTTGAAATCAGAGAGAAGAGCATGGCCAGCTTCTGTGGGTTTTGAGGCCATATTACAGAGTTTAGATTTTTGTTCCAAGAGCAGTGGAAAGGCATTAGAAGGTCTTAAGCAAGGGAGTGACATAATTTGATCTTCAGAAAGATCACTGTCATGGTTATTGGAGAACAGAGAGGCTGCCTAGGGGCCTAGCCCATTAATCCAAATGAGAGATGTTGGGTTGGCCCAGGGTGGTAGCAGGGGAGGGTGGAGCAGACAGACATGGTGTTTTGTTTTTTTGTTCTTTGTTTTTAAAGATTTTATTTATTCATGAGAGACACAGAGAGAAAGAGGCAGAGACACAGGCAGAGGGACAAGCTGCCACCCTGTGGGGAGCGCAATGTGGGACTCGATCCCAGGACCTGGGATCATGACCTGAGCTGAAGGCGGATGCTCAACTGCTGAGCCACCCAGGCATCCCAGCATGATGTTTTGGAATCAGGTCTACAGAACTTGGGTGGGATGAAGAAAAATGATTGAGGCTTAAACAATTAAGTAGAATATGCCCCAAATGATGAAATCTTAAAAAGGGTCACATTTTGGAGAGGAAATCCAGAGTTCAGTTTTGGTGTTGTTGTTTTTTTTTTAAGATTTTATTTATTCATGAGAGACACAAAGAGAGGCAGAAACACAGGCAGAGGGAGAAGCAGGGTCCCTGCAAGGAGCCCAATGTGGGACTTGATCCTGGGATCCTGGGATCATGACCTGAGCCAAAGGCAGAGACACTCAACTGCTGAGCCACCCAGGTGTCCCCAGAGTTCAGTTTCAAACATGTGAAGCTTGAAAAGTTCTCGGTGACTCAAGTGTGGAGATGCAGTTAGCAGCTGGAATGTCCTAGGTTCTGCAAAGGATACCCGGATGGTGAAGGACCTCAGAGGAGCTTATGCACCAGCAGAGAGAACCTAGGGGAAGAGAATCTGCTTTGCTCCCCACTCCTCCTATTTCTATGCAAGAGCCTCAAAACCCTGTCTCATTAGGGAAAAACTAACCCCCACCATCTCAAGACTGTTAGAATCATAGACTTTTTTGAGCTCAGGAATGTCATGATTCTAGGCACCTTGGCTCTGAACACCGGTAGAGAGTCAGTCTTCCTCTAGGAATAGGCTGAAAGCACTTTGGCCATGGAAGCCAAGGACGGGTAAATCAGCCTTCCTAAATCCCAAAGATTTTATCATTCTAAGCATTAATTAATGTGACTCCTCTCTCACAATTTGTAGAAGATGCCTCTTCTTTCTCTCAGCCTTTTTCTACAGGTTCACCTGTAGCAATTATCTAAAGTGAGTATCAAGGATGATCTTAAAAGGAAGAATAAGGGGGAGGGACTGAGGAGCCCCCTGCAGGGTTAGAGGGAACCATGAGAGAGAGAAAGGAATGTGACAACCAGCACTGGGCCCTCCAGCATGAGCCTCATGTGTTGATCATGTGCTGTGTCCATGTGTCTTTTGTTTTGGTCAGGACCAAGAAGTCTATGTACCTGTGCCCTTCCCACCCACTCCTTTCAGCCATTGGACCTTGAAGCAACAAAGAAGTGCAGAGAGAACTCAACTTCCCATATTATGGGACCTATTCAAGAAGGCTAGGCATAGGGATGCCTGGGTGGCTCAGCAGTTGGGCACCTGCCTTAGGCCCAGGGCAGGATCCTAGAGTCGCAAGATCGAGTCCCACGTCCCACATCGGGCTCCCTGCATGGAGCCTGCTTCTCTCTCTGTGTCTCTCATGAATAAATAAATAAAATCTTAAAAAAAAAAATTAGAAGGCTAGCCATAGTTCTAGCCATAGAACTGCCATGAGACTCCAAGGGAGGTGAGGGCCTCTCAGGGCCCTGGTTCCATCATCTGTAAATCCATATGACCCCCTAGAATTGCATTGTCCAATATGGTGGCCACCAGCCACATGTAGCTATTTAAATTTAGATTAATTATAATTAAATAAAAAAATCTAAAATTCAGGTCCTCAGTCATAACAGCCTCATTTCAAGGACTCCATAGCCACATGTGACTTGTGGCTACTGTATGAGGCAGTGCAGAGCTAGAACAGCCCCAGTACTTCAGAAAGTTCAATCAGACAGCATTGCTGTACAACAGTGGTTCCCAAACCATGGTTCCTGGACCAAGAGCATCAATACCATCTGGGAGCACTTTAGAAATACAAATTCTCAGGCCCCACCCCAGACATTATAATAAGAGACTCTGTCTGGGACAGGGACAAACCTTCCAAATGATTCTTTTTTTTTTTTTTAAGATTTTATTTATTTATTGGAGAGAGAGAGAGAGCACACACAAGCAGGGGGAGGGGCAGAGGCAGAGAGGGAAGGAAACTCCCCACTGAGGAGAGAGCCTGACTCCACTTGGGGCTCCATCCCAGGACCTCAGGATCATGACCTGAGCTGAAGGCACTTAACAGGCTAAGCCACCCAGGCACTCCCTTCCAGATGATTCTAACATATGCCAAGGTTAAAGAACCAAAGCTCTAGTGTAGAATGTTCTCTCCAATTATCCTTTTCAGCCTCAACAACCTTATACTTCTTCCTAGGGCAAATATAAGTATGATGGATTTTAGAACTGAAGAAACAACTCCAAAGATCACGGCTCAGGCCAAGCCAGGGTCAGAACTCTGGCCCATTGGCCCTTCCTTGGTCTCATTTTTTTTTTTCTTATCAAATTTGTCTAGGATCATTCTATACTGGAAAAACAAAAGGATGCAATTCTGTATCTCTGCACCTGAACTCCAGTTCCATTAGAAGGGCCAGCTGCTGAGTTTGGGGAAGTCAGAATGACCAAGACAGAAAATCTCTCCACTAAATGAGTGAAATATCAGTGAGGGTGACAAAACACGAGACACCTAACTCTGGGAAATGAACAAGGGGTAGTGTGGAAGGGGAGGTGGGCGGGGGGATGCAGGTGACTGGGTGACGGGCCCTGAGGGAGGCACTTGGCGGGATGAGCACTGGGTGTTATGCTATATGTTGGCAGATTGAACTCCAATTTAAAAAATTTAAAAAAGGGGATCCCTGGGTGGCTCAGCAGTTTAGTGCCTGCCTTTGGCCCAGGGCATGATCCTGGAGTCCCGGGATCGAGTCCCACATCGGGCTCCCTGTGTGAAGCCTGCTTCTCCCTTTGCCTGTGTCTTGGCCTCTCTCTGTGTCTCCCATGAATAAATAAATAAAACCTTAAAAAAAAGTAACACATCACTTCCTTTAAAAAAAATAAAAATAAAAAATAAAATAATTAATTAATTAATTTTAAAAAAAAAGAAAATCTTTCCACTGAGTGGTCATCGAAGTGACTAGAATGTCTCATGAATGTGGCAGAGCAGTCAGGAACCCAGCTCCACTCCCACTGTACAGATGAGGTGGGAGAGTGCTGGCCCATGCCCACCAGCTCCTTTCTGACTGCTGGGACCCAAGTCAGGCCTGGAGAACAGAGAGGTTAAGAGCCTTAGAGACCGGTGCAGCTTCGTCCTGGTTCTGTCTTTCCAGGCTGAGTGACATGCAGGTAATCTCTGCAAGCCTCCATTTCCTCTGCTGTGAAGCCCCAATAAGAATAGAACTGGTCTGCTGTGCGGATGAAATAAGCTTATGGATGTGAAGGTGCCTGGCACTCAAAATTTTCGATGTTATTATACCAGACAGTAGGAAGTCGACCTAGTTTTTCCGTTCTTTTTCTTTTCAATATAACCTGCCTTTTCTTTATGTTCTCTGACCTCAGATTTCTCTTAGCATGTGAGCTCCAGCTTGTGTCCTGCAAGCCTATTTGGGAACTAAAGAGGCATGGGTAGCCCCTCATAAGTGGCATCATCAAAGGGTAGTTTTTGCCAGTTGGTAACATCTCTGGTTTTTCTGGAACCTACCTACAAACCTGGGTAAACCTGATTGCACCTTTCAGCAAGGAGGGAGCCTTCTTACAAAGTGGGGGAGACCTAGGGCAGGGTTTGGGTACAAGAGAGGCTGTCATCAGGTGTGAAATCTAGAAAGCCCCATGAGAGGCCCTGAATTCCAGTCTCAGCCCACCACTTTTGGTCCTGTGACCTTGAACAGAGGGCTCAGTCTCTCTACCTCAATCTTTCCATACTTGGAAAGGGGAGAATGACATGCCTAGCACACCTGCTTTGAGCTTCTCAAGATCTGAGCATGAGTGCCATACTCATTGTTCTCTAGGACCCGGGCCCTTGTCTTTCTCACCTGTGGTGAGACAGAAGCCACCAGTCTGTCTGCTTCCCCTCCACCCTGCCCCTCCACCCCCCTCCAGAGCCTTGGCTCTCACAGGCTACCATCTGACTCAGCTCCTAGGCTCTCCCCTGGGCTCCTGCTGATGTACCTCCTCCCCTTAACTGGAATCTATTTTCTTTTGTCTCATTGTCTTTTCCCTCCCACCACCCCCTCCCCAAAAACACATCCACGGACTTGCCCTCCCTCTTCCCACCTCCTTGTAGCGGTGGGCGTCCAAATGAGGCTGGAGTTCCTGCAGCGCACATTCTGGGCAGCGACCTGGCAGGTGGGTGTGATGCGCCAGGTTAGGGCCAGAGGACTGTCCGACAGCTCCGCGGTGAGGAGGGCCCCGCTCCGTGGCTCCCTAGGCTCCCTGGCTCCCTCAGGTGGCCACACTGCCTCTCATCCCACCTCCTGGATCCCTTTCTTTTCTGCCTGTCTCAGCTCCCCCGTGCCTCTGCTTATGGCCTCACCTCTGCTCCTGGCCTTCCTCACCAGGGGGGTTCTCTCTGCTCAGACCCAGGAGCAGGCAGGACACAGTATTCCCACCTGCCCTGCCCCACTGGGCTGAGCGGGGAGAGCGTGGCCCTCCATCCCTCTAGCCAAGCCCCAGGCCTGGACTACCATCCATCCAGAGTGCCTCCCACCGCACCTCCCCCTTCCTCCTACCCCACTCCTCCCTTCCTTCCCCGCCTCCACTCCCAACTCCCCAGAGCCCTGGCACTGGGCTCTTCTGTGCTTCCTGAGTCTCCCCAGGAGCTGCCCCAAGCTCCTCCAGCATCATTTGCTCCTCCATTCCCTAGTCCCAGATGCTTGTGCTGCACCCTCACTTGGAGCAGGTTTGGGAAACCACAAAAGAAAGTTGGTGGGAGTGGAATGGGGTAGGATCCTGGCCCCATAACCTGGGGTCACCCTCCACATCATGCAGGATCACAAAGAATAGGAGGCTCCAAAGCCACCCTATGAGGCTTCCAGTGCCATGGGGCTGACCTCCAACCCCGGTGCATGGGCTGCCGGGCCGGGACTCCTTGGGACAATGCTGAAGCTGGGTGCCTGGGCTGCTGGCGGCCAGCGAGGGCTTGCCTCTCCAAGCCCTGACCCCACCCACATGCATCCACAATCACACACACATAGCACACATGTACCCTACATGTACAATACACACCACATCCCTACCGCATTTCTCATACACAGATGTACAGCAAACATGTACAGTCTACATGTAGGCACACGCAGAAGTATGCCACAAACACACATCCACCACCTCCACACATAAATACACCACACAGAGGTAATGCACACACCACTCCAACAAGCTCCCACACTGCCTGCCTGCTGTGTAGACACACTCATACCCCATTTACAGTTCCTCCTCTTCCCTCCAGTGTAGCGCTGTGGAGGAGCCGTGCCTGGAGAGCTGCCAGGACAGTGTAAGTTCCTCCCCAGGGTGAAGGGGGAGAGTGGGAGTCACGGGCCCCTCCACCACATCCTCCCACGGGGCCAGCTCCCCTCCTTCCCTGCAGCACTGGGCTCGGGAGGGCACCTTTGCACGGGGGGGGGGGGGGGGGGGGCAGTGATTGGGGGGGGCAGTGATCAGGGCCCGACCATGACCTCCTTCCGGGTCTCTCCCCAGGAGCTGGACTGCTTCATCATTGACAACAATGGGTTCATCCTGGTCTCAGAGAGGCCCCAGGAGGTAAGGTATCTATGGGGGAAGCGGAATTAGGGAGGGGAAGAGTCCTGCCACAGCCGGGCCAAGCAAGGAAAGGGCTGAGAAGTGGTCTTAGCTCAGGGTGGAGGAGACGGTCTGAAGAAAGTGCCATCTCTTCCTGAAACCAAGTCTGTATTTCAAGATCGCAAAGTTCAGATACTTTTCCACTTAGATAGTCAGAGAACATCTTACTTCTTTATTTTGTCTCTAAGTAATCAGGCCTCATCCAATGGTTGGTAGGGAATCTGTCCAGCTGAGCTACTACGTCAGGGTCTCGTGTGTCCTGTGCTGGGCTGTGCCCCTGACTGGCGTGGCCGTAGGGAGCCTCCTGCCAGAGTCCAAGCACCCTGGGACTCTTCATCCCACTGCCCTCCATCATGTTCCCACCCTGCTTAGTCCCTCTGGGCCGCTCCTCGGTGGTTCATCCACAACAGGAACTTATTTCTCCCGGTTCCGGAAGCCAGAAGGCAGAGAGCAGAGCCCCTGTGTCTGAGGCAGTGCCCTCTTCTGGGTCACAGACTTCTCACTGTGTCCTCCTATGGTGCAAAGGGCAAGGGATCTCTCGGGGGGGGGGGGGGGGGTCTCGTTAAGAATGGCCTCACCTTCGAGATCTAATCACCTCCCAAAGGCCCCACCTTTTGCCCTTACGTTGGGGTGAGCTTCCAACATGTGAACTTGGGGGGACCACAGAATCCTCCCCTCCTATCTCCATGGGGGCTAGAAGGGCCAAGCCTCTCCCACTTTGAGCTCCCTTCCGGTCTAGAACTCCCATGAGGAAAATTCTGTTCTAACACACTGAGCCCGACCCTCAGTTTGCTAGGGGGGATATGGAATGGAGGCAATTCTCTTTCATCCGATAGCCTGGCTGCACACCGAGCCTTCCCTGGGGCACACAGACATCTCCCTGACCCCTGCATGTGCTCAGAAAGGCAGAGAAAGCATAATAATTCTGTATTTGCTGAGCCCCACACTGGGCCCCCAAGTTAATGGCTTGTTTAGCCAACCAAAAAATAAGGCCATTCAAATCTGAACCAAACCTGAATATATTCACCTGAAATATTTCCTTGAAACAAGCCAGATGTACTGAAATGGCTTCCAGCCTGAGCCTTAAGAGAAGGGATACGGTATCGGCTCCAGGGTGGGCCTTGAATTAATTGGATATGTAGTTTGTCCAAGCAGCTTCACTTGTCTGTGCCTCAGTTTCCTCTTTTCTGAAATAGGGGAGCTGTACTATGTGATTTCTCAGCTCCTCCTTGCCCTGAGATTCAGTCCCAGGGTGCTGGCAGAGCCACAGGATGAGGTCATGGCTGTGGCTGCCTTCAGGCTGGACACAGCTGGTGCTCTGGCCTCTCTGGAGCAGGGCTAGGGTCTGAAGAGGCCAGGGGGCTACAGCAGGAACCAGGGCAGCAACCAGGAAGGAGATGTGGGAAAGAGGGCAACAGAGGAAGGGGCACAAGTGGGTCCTGGAGTCTGATCCCTTGAGAGCTTTACTCAGAAGCCCTTGTGAAGAGAAAGCCAGTTTTACCCATTGTCCTCCTAGTGGGAGCTGGGGGTGGGGTGGCCTTCCTGTCATCTTTGAACTGCTCATCATTTTCCTCTTTGTCCCTCTCATGCTACCTTTGGCCATGTCCCTCTCCCCTGGACAGAGCACCAGTGCATTTTAGCATGTGTCCATCGTTCGGGGGGGAAGTGGGTAATGACAGAGGCAGGCACCAGTGGTCAGGATAAGGCTGCCGGAGGATCTGATGCTGCCCATCACTCCTGTGTTGACCCCTGCTGCCCTGGGGAGCGGAGCCTGCCCTGCCTGCAGGTGCCTGTGCTGTTGGCTTTCAAGGGCCGGAGAGAGTGTGGAAGGGGAGGGAAGGAGGGCAGCCAAGCCTGGAGACAGGTGCTCTGGACCCAGGGTCAGCAAACATTTCCTGGAAAGGGCCAGAGAGTGTGGATTTAGGCGTTTCAGGCCAGACAGCTTCTGTCACAACTACCCTGCTCTGCTAGTGTAGTGCAGAAGCAACTATAGACAGCATATAAATGATGAGCATAGCTTTGTTCCAATAAAACTTAATTATGGACACTGAAATTGGAATTTTATATAATTTTTATGTGTCATGAAATATATTATTCATTTTATTTTTTTCCAGCCATTTGAAAATAGAAAGGGCTGACATAAATAGGTGGCGAGCCAGATTTGGCACATCGACCATTATTTGCTGACCCTGCTCAAGAGGCAGCCCAGACAGCCTTGCAGGGAGGGAAGCCAGGAGGGAAATCAGCCTGGCACAGGAGAGGCGGGCAGGGCCATCTTAATGACAGGCAGCCCCCAAGGGGCTCTTTGCATAACCCATTGAGCCCCTTTGGTCCTATTCTACCCAAATCACATTTGCTCACATGTCTTCCCAAATCATAGTATCACTGGGTACAACTCTGGATAATATTGGAAACTTATTCTACAGACTTATATTTTATAAAATATGTGTTTACTTAGCTTATTTACCCCTATTTTCTCAACTATTATTACATTGTATGTTGTTTTAAAAGCTATCCCAAGTCCTTTGTAGAATGAAGTAGGGCATAAACGAAAAGAAACTTAATCTTCTTAATAGGATTAGGAGCTTCCAGAAGCTCCCCCAGAATCCCAAACCAGCACTATGCGTGGTTACCCTGGCCTCTGACACCACATTGCTTCCCCTCCCCTCCCCCAACTTCCAGGCCCCAGGAGGGACACCCCCCCATAAACACACCACCACTACCATCTCATTTTAACCTGGAGTTAAAATTGAGGCTGCAGGGTGAGGTTAGTAACCTCGCTACAGAAAAGCTAGACTTTGAGATTAGAAATACAAGTGAAGAGCAGTGACAGTGAGGGGGACAAAGTTTCTAGAAAAGACCTGATGGTGAGGGGAACCAAACTAGAGAAACATAGGTTTTGATGGAACTTGAGAATTTGTAGGGCAGGATGGGTGAGTGCAGGGAGAATGGCCTGCTCCGGAGGGTGCAGCAGGCTGGAAGTCCCAGTCTCCTGGGCAGTTATCCTCCCGCCTGGACCCTGACCCCAGGCCACTCTGTTGCTGCTCAGGGTAGAGTTCATTCACTTTGCTGCACATGGCTAGAAATTAGGACCGATGCCTTCAGGACCCTGACTGCCAAGGCCAGACATCCTGACACCTGGATTAAACTCCAAGGCTGGTGCCAGAGCTCTGCAGTATCTTGAGAGAGTCCCTCCTTGCTCACTCTGGGCAGCTCTGACCTAGCGACCTGAGCTGTGTCGGGTTCTGAGACGGCACAAAGGGAGTGATACCCAGGCCGGAGAGGCCAGCGGTACAGCAGCCCCTGGCACGATGCCCGATACTCAGCAGATACCTAGTCACTGTGTGGAAAGTCCAACTGGCCTAAATATGAGGCCTGGCAGTGGCAAGGGCTGGACTGGAAGGAGAGTGGAAGCCCCGTGGTGGAGAGCCTAGTACTGATGCTGTAGATCAGCTGTCTATCCTCCCTGTTTTGCTTTTTATTTTAACTCATTCATTCAGCAATTCTGTAACAGTTATCTAGTGCTATGTAACATCTTACCCCACGTGTAGTGGCTTAAAACCACCTGACTGACTGTCCCACAGTTCCTGGGTGTGGCTTTGCTGGCTGATTCTGGCTCAGGGTCTGTCATAAGGCTGAAGAAATGTGTCAGCCAGGCCTGCAGTCATGTCAAGGCTTGGCTAGAGAAGGGTCAGCTTCCAAGTTCACTTGCATGGGCAATTACCAGGTGGGCCTCTCCACAGGGAAGCTCACAAAGCGGCAGGTGGAAGTCACCTTTTGGAACCTAATTTCAGACATGACATCCCATCACCTATACTTTATTTTATTCACTTGAAGCCAGTTACTAGGTCCAACCTACCAAGAGGCTGGGACCATCGAGAGTCATTTGTGAGAATCACCCTACCACGAACTGCTACCCCTCCCCAAACACACCCAAGTGCTGTCAAGACCACATGGCCTGGCCCCTGTTCCAACTCATCCATCCCTCCCTGCCCCTCCTATCCGGAAGCCTCAGTGTCTGGTGGGGGGACTGGCAGCATCAGTAGCATCTGGGAGCTTAACAGACATGTAAGTTCTTGGGCCCTACCCAGACTAAGGGAATCAGAAACCAGCTATGCTGTGATGAGCCCTCTGACGACTCTGATGTGTGATGAAATCAGAGAACCAATGCCTAGGCCTTAATGCCGGCTAATGTGCCAGAAGGTCCAGGCTACCCCTTGTCCCTGCCAAGGATCATCCAGAGGCCCAGGGAGAGGAGACTGCCACTGCTCCAGATGCAGAGATTCTTCCCAGAGTCCTTCCCTCCCAGCCCTTCCTCCCTGAGGCCCTCTGGCCCAGCACACAGTGATTGCTGAAGCCCCAGGGCACCATCTGTGATCTGCCTGAGGGAGGGTGGCTTGGATCTCTCGGGCCTGGCCCGCCTTCCGTCGCCTTTCCCGCCGAGGAGAAGGGCAGAGCAACAGCCCTGGAGGCGGCGCTCCTCCCACCGAGTCGGCCCCTCCCGCAGTCCCGGATGCCGCCCGCCGCCCCGCAACCTGGCTCACATTTCATTGGCCAGCCCTGGCCGCAGGGCCGTCTGGGAAATGTAGTTCCGTAAAGGAGCGCACTGCTACCATACTCCCAAGTCAGGACTGCCTTACCCGAAGGAAGGGGAAGCTGATGTGCTCTGTCAGAGTGACGTATCCTAGAAAGTCACGTTGTTTGCGCACAGAGGGGAACATTTTTTTTCCTAGTGTCCAAGAGCTTGGCTTCTCAGAATCAAGTGTCTGCACAACAGGGTTGTCGGTGGCTAAGCCCGGAGTTTGGAAGGAAAAGGGGACAGACAGCCTTGTGGGAATTTGGGCCAGCCTCATCAGCACCCCTGTTTCCACACCGCCGCAATTTCCCATGGAGGATACTGACACCCCTCATTCATTCCCCTGCCCATTCACTCACACATGCCTTCAACAAATATGCACTGAATAGTAACCATGAACAAGACCCTGTGTGGTCCATGGGAAGCTGAGAGGTAGACATCTGCCCCGTGGGATCTCTCTGTCTGGCGAGGCAGGAACGCACACACATTGGTCACTGGAACAGCAAAACGCAACCCACAGCTGATAGAGAGGGATCACTTGAGCTTAAGAAACTTCAGGTGGCTTCAGGACTTCAGGGCTGCGTTTTGGAGAACAGCAGGACTGGATGCTTCACAGCTTTCCACTTCCTATTCTTTGCCTGAACCGCCCTCAACTTGGCACTGTTGTCCTCTGCTCTGTCCCTGCTCCAAGAAGCCTCTCAGGCCTTAGAACAGGTGGGCCTTCTGGCTGAAGAGAGCACAGAACTCACACAAACCTGCATGTCCTATCTGGCTCTCCCTAGGCTACCCCCTCATGCCTTGATCATCAGCCCCTCACTTTCAGGGTACATAGCAGAGAGGCCTTAACTTTAGCTGGGAAGGTGAGGAAAGAAAGACTTCTTGGAGGAGGACAACAAGAAAAGCTCCTTGCAATGAAGATGGGAAGGCTTGCCAAGGCAAAGAGCAGTGCCGAGGCCCAGAGCAGCTTCCTACCATAGGGCCAACACATAGGGAGTACTCACTGTGTGCCAGGTGCTTGGCACACATTATCCCTCACCTACCCATGGCCACATGGTGGGCAGTGCTGGGGCCAGGATCTGATTCAAAATCCAGTACCTGAGTCTATGCTCTTTCCCATCTGCCCTGCTGACAAACCAGCAGAAGCAAGAGGCTGGGGCAGGTGGGGAGGTCAGTGTAGGGGTGAGGCTGGAGGGCAGTCTGAGGCCAGAGCATAGCAGGTTTAAGTGTCGGCCAACTTGGAGGGGCTCTGGGGGCTTGGAGGATGCCCTCTGGCCTGGCACCCAGTGGTCGGTGCTCACCAGAGCTGGTTGATTGGGTCATGAAGGAGGGACGAGAGGGAAGGAGGGTCCTGCTTTGTTCTTTAGGGAAAGAGAGAGAGAGAGACTAAAATCTCAGCTGTGTTTGAGGAGTGATCTGGCAGCAGGACTGAGGGCAGGAGGGAGCTCAGTTAGGAGGGTGGAATGGGCTGCTGGGAGCACAAAGGTCTGGATTGTGTCACCTCCAGGTGTCAGAAGGTGAATGTCAACCCAGGGCACACTGATTAATTGGGAAGGGGAGAGGGTGGTGGGGAGGGAGGGGAAAAGGTAGCCCCAGATTTTCAAACATATTGGGCTGGGTGATAAGGGTGCCAGTTGTAGAGGTAGAGAGGAGGGCTGCTTTTTTGAACCTTTTTTTGACCCTGACTCAGAAAAAGATACAATGTTACATCTGATCTAGGACATTACACACACACCATATACAACAAATCAAGTGTCACAAAACCTTGTTTAACCTGATGACACACAATTCACACCAAATTGTTCAAAGGAATTCTGTGCCTTAAAAAAAAAAAAGAGAGAGAGAGAGAGAGAGAGAGAGAGAGAGAGAGAAAGAGATCTGGTTGTAGCCCCTAGATTGATTTCATGGTCAACTAATGGATTACATTTTAGAATTTGGAAAACACTAAGATAGAGACTATGTCCAGGGAGCCTGTTGAAGGGGAGGGAGCCAGCAAACGGATACAGTCCTGATTTGGTTGAAAGGGCTGTGCAGGGGAAACCCAATGCCCAGCTGAGGTCTGCAAACTCTGAAATGAGCCTGGCCTAATGTGAGAAACTTAAAAGTCTTTATGCTGTTCATCTCCCTCCCTCCCGTCTCTCTGCCTCCTCCCTTCCCTGCCCCCTCTCTTCCTGTCTCTCCCATTCTCCCTCCCTATCTCTTTCCCCTTCCCATCCCTCCTCTGCCCCATCCATCCCTCTCTCCTGTCCCTGTCTCTGTGTCTCTTTCTCCCTCACAGATGGGAAGATTCCTGGGGGAGTTGGATGGTGCTCTCATGACCCAGCTGCTCAGCATGGGGGTGTTCAGCCAGTAAGTGGGACATGCTTCTCCCCAGACTGAATACACAAAGAAAAGGCAGGAGCTGATGCTAACTGGGCTCGACAGATAGCAAGATCCTGACCTCAAAAACACAGAGTGAAAACCCCAAAGAGCTCCTAAAGCACCCTTTCTGAAGCCAGGGCCTTGACTCAGGGTAGAGAAGGGTATAAGGTCACATGGGCCATTAGAGGGAAAGCCAGATTTGCTTTAAAGCAAAGTGCAGAGATGGAATTGTGTGACCTGCCCATCCTCACTCACGCACCCTCAGGAATCCCAGGGAAGAGAACCATGTGCCAAGCTTTCCCTTGGTGTGGGAGAGGGTGGGGAGGCCTGGACTCCCCAGATCCTGTTTCTGATTTTCAGAGTGACCATGTATGACTACCAGGCCATGTGCAAACCCTCGGGGCACCACCACGGTGCAGCCCAGTCCCTGGTCAGCGTAAGTGTCATCCAGACCTTTCCCCCACCCACCAACCCCAAGACCCCACTCTTGACTTTGACCAGGAAGTCTTGTCCATCCTCTTCTGGCACCCCTGCTCCCTGCACTCAGCCTCTCAGCCTGCACCCACCCCAGGCACACAAGCCTTCTCTCTGGGGCATCAGAGATCTGTCCTGGAAGCAAGGCCTCTGGCAGAGAAAACAGACCGTCACCCCTTTCTTGCTTTGTCCCTACCCTCACTCACTAGTGCTTTCACACCTATTACAAAGGATCCCAGAAACACCACCAAGTGGATCATCAGGAAGAGAACTTGACTGGTCTTGTGTGTGTGTGTGTGTGTGTGTGTGTGTGTGTGTGTGTGTGTTTCTCACATTTTCTTTTTTTATTCCTTTATCTAGGGATTTTAAAAATTGTATTTAAATTCAATTTGTCAACATATAGTATAACATCAGTGCTCATCCCATCACGAGCCCTCCTCAGTGCCCATACCCAGTTACCCTGTCCCCCAGCCCACCTCCCCTTCTGCAACCCTTTGTTTCCCAGAGTTAGGAATCTCTCATGGTTTGTCTCCCTCTCTAATTTTCCTCCACTGTATCCCCCCTTCCCTGGTCTTCTGGATGGGCATGGCCTAACCCTGGAAGAGTCTGCCCTACAATAGGAATTTATCAGATAATTCAGTTGTAAAATGCTCCCTCTGCTGGGCAGGGGTGGCAGGTGGTGACAGCCAGAGGGGAAGAGGGGGAAGCCCTCCTACTACTCCCACTACCACCTGCTGTGGTCTTTACCGTGGTGCCCAGAGGAGAACCTTGGCCTAGGGCTTAACCACGTGTCCCCTCTCTTTCCCAGCCACTCTCTGCCCTCCTGACTGCTACCAGGTGGCTGGTGAATGAGCTCTTGCTGTGAGTGGCCGATCTGTGGCTAGGACAGGGGGTGGGACTGGGGGGACGTCATGCAGGCATGCCTCATAGGGGAGCCCTTTGAGCAGGAGTGACATGAGGTCCCCAGAACCCCAGAGGAGGCAGGCAAGGTCCCTGGGTGGAACTGGTGAGGCATTATGGCGCCTGGCCTCTGCACACTGCTGCCAGGTGGAGAGGCTCTCTGCTCACCTAGTAGCCTCAAGCAGGGGAGAGGGTGTCCTATAGGAGAGGGGCTGGACCGGGGGCCAGCAGGGAGCTCCAGTGCTCCAGCCCTCTCAGGACCCAGGTGGGGAGGCACATGGGCCTCCAAGATTCAGCTCTGCGTCTGACAGGCTCCTGCTGGAGTGGAGTGCCTGGGGCTCCTGGCTTGCGGACAGTGGGGCCGAGGGTGAGTACACAGATGGCAAAGGGAGTGTTTACTAACAAAGCCATCTCACAAGAAACCTGTCACCTCTGGGTGGATGACAGATGGGAGGGGGACTCTGGAGAGTCCATGGCTCTCATCTCATGGCATCCTCCTCATCCCTGGCTTCCCTCACCTCTCTATGTGACATCATGCCATCTTGGGACACCACTGCTCCATGTGACATCATTCACCCCAAGCGACATCACCACCCTTTGTCATCCCGCCCTTGTGTGACATCATGCCCATCCTGTGCTGGGCCTTGTGTCCTGGACAGCCAAAGCTGTCTTCCATCACTGTAAGTAGTGTTCACTGAGGAGTCTGGGGTGGGGTGGGGGGAGCCTGGGGGTGCTGGGAGGGACTGCAAGAGGGGCCTGTCCTCAGCCGTCCATCCCAGTCATGCATCCAAGGAAGACTGAACTCTCTTCATCCAGGGACACCCCTCACTCAGAGGGCCTCTCCCAAGCTAAAGCGCCATTCCTGAAGGGGTGGGGGGTTGCCCCAAGCTCATCCCACACAAGTATTAGCCCCACCCCAGGGAAAACAGAACACTCCAGCCAATCTCCTTGGGTGAGATCACCTATGATTCCAAAAAGAAAAGGGTGATGTGGCCCAGTGGTTTGCCCACATGCAGGTGAGAAGCCACCAGGTTTCCTTGTGGAGCAGGAAACAGCAGTGCCTCCAGCTCACAAGTCCACCGAGCCCTCAGAAGCACTCGGGGGTGGGGGTGGGGGGCAGGTGGAGGCCTTGGTCTGGTCACTGGGACCCTCTGGGGATAATATATCTCCTGTGACCTATGTCCAAGGACAGTGCCCTCCATGGTCCTGACCACACACCAAAGAGGTGTCCTCATTCCCAGCCAGCTAGGACTCTGGAATGTACCCCGCAGAGAGTGAAGCCACTTGATCTGTAAATGTAAAAGAAAGTCAGGCTTCCTAGTAGCCTGGGTGTTCCCCCCCACCACCCAGGACTGTCTCACTTTAACCCATTTTGCTCAACCCCTCCATGTCAACAGAGCCTTTTCCATGGGATTCTGGAACATCTCCACTGCCTAGACTGTCCTCCCCACCACATTTTTGTCCAGAGTTTGGCTTCCGGATGGTGTCTGTGACAGGAACCAGGAACTGTGTGTCACAACTCATTTAGAAACAGGTCCCTCCTCCCTTCTGCATGAGAACACAGGGTAGGGGACACAGCTCTCCACCTTGTCTCTCTCTCTCTCTGTGCTGGCAGCCACATCTTGCAAAAGCAGAGAATGACCTCCCCCAGTCCGCTTGTTCAGAATTTCTCATCCTCATGATAGCTGTGGGTGGAGCTTCTGCCTCCCGCCTAGGGGGCCTGGTCCAGCCCCTCATCCATGTCCTCGGTAAAGAGTGCAGGCCTCAGAGTCAAAGGACATGGACCAAGTGAGGCCCTGATGCCCTTCCCAGCTGTGTGACGCCTGCTCCACCCTATTGTGGTTGGTACTGTTACTATCACTGGCACTGAGATAACCCACCCACACTAAATGGCTCAGGTGACAGGCCCAGCCCTGAACCAGCCCCTACAGGGGATGGGGGACAAGGCCAGGGTGACTGGGCCCTGCAAAGACAAAACCAGCCAGAGGCCTCTTGGAGGCTTTAGCCAGAGTTCTCACTCTCCAATTCTGAGGGGGCCCAGCCTGCTAAGCTGCCCACAGCAGCCCTGGAAGGTCTGGTGTGCAAAAGCCCAGACTAAATACCATGCTTCTTCCCGTGAGGACTTCTCTGCCCACACACTGGCCTCCCTGCTCACCTTCAAGGTTTCGTGGGAAGTTTCTGGGTCTGGGAGTTTAGCAGACCTATAGCTCTCCTGTGAACCCCTAGGTGACACTGAGATGGGGCGAGACTGCCCACCTCTCTGTTCCACAGATAGGCCCTGGGAGCAAAAGGAGAGGCATGAGGAGTGCCTGGAAGAGAAAGAAGTGCTTTGTTAACAGAACACTGCTATTGCTCACCTCGGGGAGCAAATGTGGGTCCTCCAGGATGGGGCTGCTAGGGCCTCAGCGCTTCCTCTTGTTGAGTCCTGTTCACTCCATCCTTTGCCCCTTTCTGAGTGGGCTCAGTGCACCCCACAGACACTAAGGAGCCCCAACGAGCCCAGTCTCCTGGGTTTAGGCAGCGTCAGGCACTGGAAGCCCCCTGCCGGCTCTGTCCCAGGCCCTGGCAGTCGGCACTCAGCCTTTGGTGCTCTGCTTACAGCTGGCCACAGGGTTTAGGGAGCAGTCTCAGGGCTTATCCAGGAGTTGCATTTGCAGAGCACCATAGCTGGACTTGTGAGATGTCACCTACATGCAATAAAAGGGAGGGGTGATAGGATTAAGAGACCAAAATCTCCCCCAAGGACCCCTGGCCCTCCTACTGCCTCAGCTCTCCTCTCAGGCCCCAGATAGCAGTGTTGATCAGAGCCTCCAAGAGGTCCACTTGCACCCATCCTCTGAACCAGCTGGCTCACACTGAGGAGCAGGCTTCCAGAGAGAGGAGGGGGCTCTCCCAAGGTCATGGGCCTAGTGCACCAGTCACACACCTGAGACCCCAGGCCCCCCAGAGCCCTGTCTGCTGCCCCATCCACTGTGACACCATCTGCTCCATTTATCCTGCTCCTTTTTCCCTCCCTGTCTTTCTTCCATCCACCTGGCCTCGATGAACCCTGAGAACTTTCTGACAAGGAAGCCAGGCATGTGCACATGGACAAAAGGGTGTGTCGTGGCACCTGCGGGATGGAAGCTGAAACCTCCCCCACCCCCCAGAGGATGGTCCTCCTAACTGGGCGGTGCCCTTTCCCCATCCGTGCTTCTGTCCCTCTGCAGCCCACAAGCACAAGAAACAGGACGCACTGCAGCCATGCGACACAGAGTACCCCGTGTTTGTGCACCAGACGGCCGTCCAGGAGACCAACGGGATCATTGAGTGCGGAACCTGCCAGAAGTAAGGCCCACGAGCAGTGCTGCCCACCCCCAACCTCGCTCACACGGTCTTTGCTTCTCATTTCACAGGCCAAGGCAGGGGCGCTGGACGGTTCAGGGCACTATCTTGGGGGTTCTGGGGAGAGGGCTTCCCGAGGCTGGATGGAGGCCCACCCACCAAGTCTCATCCCATCCAGAAGAAAGGCTCCCATAGCCTCTCCCAGCACCCCGTCCAGTGTGGGTCTCACACACACCTACTTGCCCACAGCAGCTCAGGGCCTTGAAGCTCAGTGGCACCCACGAGCCCTTGCAAGGCCAGGACAGGCAAGGACGGCTCTGAGCAAAGAAACCAGTCAGCTCTCCTCAGAAACCTACCTGTGCAGAGCATGTTCTCAGGATGGCTGGGCTACAGGAGGGTTCCCCGCGCTGTCAGCTCACTCCCAGGCCCAGAGCCCCTGTGTGCCCCCCGCCTAGACTCAGGCCGCTAGAGAGGAGCTAGATCTGACTGGCTCCGCCAAGCCCTGGCCCCAGAGCGCAGGGAGCCCTGACAGAAACGTCTCTCCTGCTGACTCCCAGCCCGACCTCCACCTTGGGGGCCTCCCAACCCATGAGGTTCCGTCCTGGGCCTCCTCCAGAGTGCCCACCCAGCTAGCCTTGCCATTCACCAGGGGCTTCCCTCACGCCCCCAGACCTCAAGCGGATCACTTTAGAATGTAATGCCTCAGTCTGCGGCACAGGACAGTCAAGTTTCCACCTCATACTGGTGTGTCATGATGGGTAAATAGTCTGGTGTAAGGCACAGACTTCAGAGTATTCAAATTCAGACAAATTCGAATTCAAAAGCTGGCCCTGCTGCTTCCTGGCCTGTAACTTTGGGCAAGCTGCTTCACCCCCCCTAGCCTCTGTGCCTCTGTGTCTCATCTACAAGACAGGAATAATGCCAACCGCATTCGGAGTGGTGAAGGTTAAATGTGTGTGTGTGTGTGTGTGTGTGTGTGTGTGTGTGTGAGAGAGAGAGAGAGAGAGAGAGAGAGAGAGAGAGAGAGAGAGAGAGAGAGAGATCACCCACCCCACAGGAAAAAGCTCAGGAAGTGGCAGCTACTGTTACATAAGTCACCAGGCCTCTGCAGAACAGGCTCAGAATCCTGGACTTCCTCCCTCTGGCAGGACTCCAGGGCTGTGTGCAGGCGCGCTGTGCCACCTGGTGGCCAAGCCTGAGCACTGCCGCCTTCCAGCACAGCCTGCTCCACCACGACCACCCAAAGCAAGGAGAGCCACACATGCCTATTTGTCTGGGGCAGTCTTGATTTATGCCTGTTATCCCTGCATATATTAATAACACCTTTCACTCTCAAACGTACCCCAGTTTGGACTTCCTCACCTCCAGTCTGCGAGGAAGCAGTACAAGCACAAAGGCTTGTGGGTAAAATAAATTCACTGCCTACGACTGTCCCTGCAGCTATCCCTAATCTGACCTGCCTTATGGTACTTGCTCCTTCCCCTGCCACCACCACGCCACACTCTAAATCTCCAGAAATTCTCCTCCTGGAAGCTCAAAGTCATGCCCGCCATAGAGAAGACCCACAATCCACTTCTCTCTTTGCTGCAGGATGTTTGTGATGCAACAGATTCCCAGTAGTAACCTTCTCCTCTTGGTGACAGACCCCACCTGTGACTGCAGCATCTTCCCACCAGTCCTGCAGGAAGCTACAGAAGTCAAATATATCCTTCCAACCTCCAGGATATGCAGGCTGAGGGAGGGATGGAGGTGTGGGAGATGTTGCTGAGGGGCTCAGATTTTGAGAGGTTGAGGTCAGCCTCCCTCACCACCAGCATTCCACCCGCCTCCACGGGGCATTGAGACTTGTTCCCCTGCCACCCCTGCCCCTGGGCACTGTCTTCTGACCTTGGAAGCCACCTGCAAGGCGGCTGGTCCCACTAAGAGTAGGTTCTTCCCCAACTTACTCTCTAGAATCTCCAGAATCAGCTCCTGTCATGAGGTGTCCGCCTTAACAGTGAATTGTGCACATAACGCCTCTGTCAAGTGTGACAGGATGCGCTCCCAGAAGCTTCGCCGGAGACCAGATTCCTGCCATGCCTTCCATCCAGAGGTGAGGGCTCAGGGCACGGGGGCATAGGTGGAGGGCTTCCCCAAATCCTCAGCTCTAGGACTGTGCCTGTGCGTTTGCAGATCTGAGTGGCCACATGAACACAGCTGTACATGTGCACCTCCAAGGGAACACATTCCTGCACATGCATTTACATTTAGGCCCGTGGCAGGCAAACAAGAAAGTCAACCAGGATCCCAGGGTACTTTCACAAGGAGGGCCAAATTTTCCAGGGTTTGGACCATCAGTGATTTAAAACACAGCTTCCCCATATTGCCTCCATTACTACTGCACTTAGCTCCCAATGACCTGAACAAGTTATAGGAAACCATGATACGCACAATACTAATGTATTGTATTAGTATTAATTTAGACCGACATTAATTTAGTACCCACTATGTAAGGTGCTTTTAGCTTAAGGCCTCCAGCTGGGTGCCTTATACATGGTATTGTCTTTGCTCGATATAACTGCCACACATAATTGACATCAAAGAAGCTTCCAGAGTTGATGGAGCTTCCAGAGTCAGATTCTAAGAGTATGGCCCCCTATAAGACTAGGGACAAGCAGAGGCTTGAGCCCAGTTCTGGGCTGACTGCACAGCCTCTACCTTCCCTCTAAAAGATAGGTAACCTAAAAAGGATGGTTTCTAGAACTTCTCTCTTTCTCCAGGTATTTGGCTTTAATTCCCAGAGACACCCCCCGCCACCCACCCCCCTTCCTTGCCTCTTCTGGCTGGGATAGTTGCCTCATCTTGAATGCTACCGTTTCATCTCTGCTCTGGGTTCACAGGAAAACGCCCAAGAGTGTGGTGGCACCGGGGACACCTCAGCCTCACTCCCCATGCTCCTGCTGCCTGTGTGTGCCTGGGTGCTACCACTCCAGCTGCTGCAGTGACACCAACCTAATCTGACCTGTTTTGACAAAATGATTCTTCCAGAAACATTCTAAGGAGTCAGCACCTGGCATGGGATCCACCTCACTACACCTGGGCCAGGTCACTGTTCATCTCAGTCTTGGGCTAATGGACACTGCCTCCTGAGACTGCTGGATGGAACCAGAAACTACTTCTCAAAGATCTTCCAGGGTGCCTAGTACAATCCACCCCGAGTCTCAGTGGACATCCTCCCATCCTGCCTACCTCTGCTTCAGGAGTCCAACACAAGCTCAACTTAGACCAAGACAAAAGAATTTTTTTTTAATTTTTAAGGGTTTTATTTATTTATTCATGAAAGACAGAGAGAGAGGCGAGAGACATGCAGAGACACAGGCAGAGGGAGAAGCAGGCCCCATGCAGAGAGCCTGATGTGGGACCCGATCCCGGGTCTCCAGGATCAGGCCCTGGGCTGAAGGCAGTGCTAAACCACTAACCACAGGGAATTGGGGTCATTTGCCGGCGGGAACTGGTACTTTGAGTTGTGGAGAGCTGGGAAGAAGGGTCACCCGAGGCCCTGCACACTGTCCATGCTTACCTTGGGGGCTTGGCTAGGACCTCTTCATTGGAGGTTGGTTAAATTTAAAGCTCTGAGGCCACCTCAGAATTTCTACATGGTTCTGCCTTTAATTGCTCTCACAGTGGAGGCTGCTCTCTCTCAGGCAGGGAGGGAGGAGAAAGCCTCAGAGCCTTGAGATCTTGGGGGGAGGGGTGCACCTGGGGAGAGCTCCCCTTCTGGTGCACTTTGCTGTGTATGTTGGCATGTTCCCTGAAAAGCCAGCCTTAGGCACAGAGTCAGGTGGTCTCTTTTGTAGATTAGTGTCTAGAAAAAGAGCACCATGGGCTCTGGACCTCCCGGGAAGACCCCTTACCACACCATTGTGAAAGGCTGCTCTTCCCAGGCCTCTGCTTGGCTACCACTATTCCTCCACCTCCCCCATTCTTACGTCACCATCTAGTGCAGCAGCTGTATATTTTACCCCATTGGCTTTTTCTTAAATGCAAAAGTTTCTATACATTAGCATTTTGTAAAGAGAGTTTTGGAAATTTTTAAAAGCAATAGTTTGCAGACATGCCACAGTAATCTAAAAGTCTAAAAGGATTTAATACCTGTTCCTGTTTTGGGGTTTTCCCATTTCTCTTTACTTCCCTGCCTTCTGTCCGTCTGTCTCAAACACACAGAACTTGGCCTCTCTCCGTGTCTCTCATGAATAAATAATAAAATCTTAAAAAAAAATAAATATCCGGTCTCCAACAGCATCTGATCTCTACTGCCAGCTCCCAGACACAGGCTGCTAGTGTTCCTCTCTAGGACAGCAATCCTGTCTTTTGAAAGGTCTGTCTTCCTTGCCCACCCAGGGAGAGCATTTTCAGGCAAATTCATCAACTACCTTGACCACGTAATCTAAAAACCAAGATTAGAAATGCTGGGGCAGCTCCCAGCCTTGTTTTGCTTCATCATCCCCATGCCTCTAAATGGCCAGGAGGAGACTGTCAAATTGGGATATCACTTTTAGAACCATTGGAGGAAATGAACTAACCTTTCTAACTAACTAACCTTGCTCTTCACCTGGGAAGACGGAATATTGTCAGCTTCGGAGGTCCAAACTAGTCTCCGTTCTTCTTTTAACCACTTTTAACCACTACAGGACAGCAGGTGGCAGCCTAGCTCAAGCTAGAGCGCCATCACCAATTTCAGATGAACAAAGTTAAAACCAAAGGCATAAATGACAAGATTCTGTAGGCAGAATCTTAAATCTCTTTTCTTAAAAATACTGCATATCTTTGGATGACCAACAACTCAAAGCAGCTGTCAGATCTTCCTTCCTCAGTACCAGGGACAAATTATCTACTAGATCCATCTTATAACTGCGTACACTTTAATGGGAGTGCTTTCAGGTAAAGCAGTTCCCCACTTCATAATGCTAAGTGAAAGTCTGATTCAGGGGGGCAAGAGAATGGACACATCTTAAAGCCAGAAAAGTAAATATGGGGGGGGGGGTCACAGCAGGGAGGAATTTGAGCAAGAGTTTGGCAGAAACGACAGCCAATCACTATGGAAATTTTGAGAAATGATCTCAGGGAAAGATGCCCACTTTCTTTTATTTTTTAAAGATTTATTTATTCAGAATATAGCCCACTTTCTTTTATTTTTTAAAGATTTTATTTATTCATGAGAGACACACAGAGAGAGGCAGAGACATAGGCAGGCTCCCTGCGGGGAACCCAATATGGGACTCGATCCCAGGACCCAGGGACCCCAGGATCACGACCTGACCTGGGCCAAAGGCTCAACCATTGAGCCACCCACGTGTCCCATATAAGCCCATTTTAAAAGGTGAGAAAAGGAGAAAACTTGGTGAGAAAAGCGAGAGTAGGGAAATAAACGACCTCTTGCCTATGTCCCTGGCATATGGCAGAACCTGACCCTGACCCTACTTCTTGTTTTAAGTCAGCATAGCCAAGGCAGCAATGAGATGTGCTATCATGAGGCTTTCCCATTTGTGCAGCTAGGTTCCCTGCTTCCTTAGTTTCCCTGATCCCTGCTCCAGGCCATCTCAAGTATAAGTTTTGAAGTCAGATTGACATCTTTGTTTTTTACCAAGTCACATTGCTGAAGGTAGAAAAACCTTGTACGTAAGGACACAAGGAGTGGTGGCCAATAGTCGATGACTAATGAGGGAAGGAAAACACCAAACACACTGTAACTGGAGCAAAATATTCTCTAGAGACAAGGATATTTCTAGGATAATTGTAAACAATACTGCCCAAAGGCTTCTTTAGGAAACCCAGAGCACTAGCATTCTATGAAGTCAAGGTTCAAACTTGTCCTTCATTTCCTTTACAATACCCATGGACACCACGTGAGAAAAGGAAGGCATACAGTTTTTAAGGGGAAAACAAAAATTGGGAAAAAATCAAATGGCTCTTTGTAAAGGCCTCAAAGGAGCAGAATGCGATCCAAGGTTCTATACCCAGATAATATACGGGAAACCCTAAAGTTGTATCTACAATTAAAAATGACAATTCGGGAAGCCTGGGTGATGCAGTTGGTTAAGCATCCAACTCTTGGGTTTTAGCTCAGGTTGTGATCTCAGAGTCATGAGGTTGAGCCCTGCCTCCTGCTCCATGCTTAGCGGGAGACTGCTTGAGATTCTCACTCTCCCTCTCCCGCTCGTGCTCTTTCTAAAATAAATTAATCTTAAAAAAAATAAGAAATGAGAATTCAAATACTGGAAATTCCCCTGCAAAAACAATTTACCTAAGGCAAAGGGGTTGGGATTCCTTAAATTACACAAAAGATTAACAAACCCCAAACCTTTAAATCAACACACATTAGATTATTTATTCCAAACTCTCTTCTTTGTAAAGATTGCCGGCACAAAAGTCACACTTGATTTTTCCAAGCTTCAGTCTCCTCACTTAGGAAATGAGTAATGCTGATCAGTTAACAGGGAGGTGGTTACAAGTATCTGAGACACCTTCACATAAAGTGTCCATTATGTTAGGTATTATACTTATAAACTTTAATCATAAATTAAGAACTGCCCCTTGGAGTAAGCTCTCCTCTCCATTCTAAACCTGGTTCCAGCTGTAATGAAAGCTTAAGAGAGGTTGAGGGGCTCCTGGGTGGTTTCAGTGGTTAAGCATCTGCCTTCAGCTCAGGTCATGATCCCAGGGTGCTGGGACTGAGCCCACATGGGGCTCCCTGCTCAGGGGGAGCTGCTTCTTCCTCTACACTCCCCCTGCTTGTGCTCTCTCTGAAATAAATACATAAATCTTTTTTAAAAAAGAGAGAAAAGTTTGAGAAACGTGAGTTAGGCATAACTCACATTTGTGCATTTAGATTTGTGCATTTAGAATGGGGGGGGGGAGTCTGAAAATTTCTTAAGCTTCAGTGTTTAAGCTGAGGCAATAAAAAAGCACACGACATAAGTTCATATTCCATTTGGTTCTTTTTATTAGAAGTTGAGAAATACAGCGAGTAAGGGAAATCCCATGGTGAATGGAACCATCACACAAGAGGCCTTTCTGGAACCCCAACCTTCTATGATCCCCAAAAATGTGCTTTGTGGCTTCAGCATTTTATAAAGGGAAAGGGGGGAAATACTGAAAAAGGCCACTATTTAATGGTGAAAGAATGAAGCTGTAGAGGTCCTAACCAGCCCAGGGCCAACAAAGAAAATTAAAAATCTGCACAGAGCAAGCCAGCCTCTGATGCTGAGAGTAAGGCATTCAGGCGCCAACCTGGTGAGAGTTCTCAGCGAGCACTGTGAAGACCAAGTGCACAGTGAGGCTGTTGGTAGTGAGTTGCACATAGACACACACATATAAATGGGCGCGCACACACACAAACCCACACACACACACACACACGCACACACACGCACACACACACCCTAAAGAGGGAGATTTTTACTGGACTACATATCATTGATGTTAATTTCATTTTTCCTAACAGTTTGTGCTATGTTGAACCAGATTCAGCTCCTCCTTTGGGGTGTGGGGTGACTGGGCCCAGAAACTACTACTTCTGTTGGTGTTGTTACAGGGCTACATCTTATACCCTGTATCCCAAAATGCATGACCGAAGAGTAAGTCTGGCTTCTGATATGTGCTGTTGCTTCCATGAGACTGTCTTTCCTTCCAGATGGCCACTGACCAAAGAGAGTAATACTGTTATTTATTCTGTCAGGCACTCCATCAGTTCACACAAGTCTTTTGCTGGGTCCCCTAGCCTCCAGGCAGCGACTTTATCCAGAACCAAAAAACTAAGTTATTCCCAAGTTCTACAATGGATTCTTTCTCCCAGCAAAAGCTGGGAGATTGGAAGGGAAGAGAAAGGAAATTAATGACCAAGAAAACACTACTGGACAGGAGACCCTATCCATACACCAAACACCTATTTGAGGATGCCAGCCCCCAGGCACAGGGCTTCAATGTTTAGCTCTAAAACCCACAATCCCCAGATGTAACTCAATCACCTGAAGTCTTGGATGACAGCAAGTAACCTTAGACTCAAGTGCTATTCTGGTGGTTTGCCTATGAGCCAAGATTAGAATTCTATGGTACCTCTGGGGTATGAGTAACCTTTTTCCTACTTTTAGCAGCTCTTTAAAGATATAGCTTAAGGACTGTATGAGACTCCCTGAAAGATCCAACTTTCTTTTAAAACTTCCCACCATGCTATCCTCAAAAACTGGGGTTCAGGGAATACTGATAACTCCATGGTGGGACTGGACCTTGCTTTACAAGAGTTCTACTGGCTTTCTTGTTTAAAGACAGCCGATATGTGTGTCACAACTAGGCTTACTAAGACAGTAGTGTCAGAGGTGCAATTCACCTTTCCTGATCCAAAGGAAGCATTCTTCCAACCTATGTAAATGAGCTCAGGAGGCACCTGGACAAGGGGAATCTCTTTTGTGGCTGGCTCCATGCCAGGAACTATGATGTCAGGTCCATTTGTATTCCCAGGAGGAGGAAGGGTAGTTAGGGCAGTGACTGTAACAGAAGGAAATTTTGGGGACGTTCCAGAGCTCCACAGCAAAGATGTGGAAAACTGTCACATTTCTACAGATAAAAGTCACCACAAAATTGAATAGGAAGCCAGTAAGTAATTAGATCAGCCTCTATGCTAACATTTCCAGAGCTCCTCCCACTGTCTCCATTACCCCTTTGCTGGCATAATTAACTTTCCCAAGTAAATGGCTCTACTCTTTAGGAGTCACTCTCAGCACAGAAAACCAGTCTCTCAAACGATACCTTAACTAGACCTTTATCTAACACATCCTGTCAGCCATTCACATGCTGCTTCCACTGAGAAACACATACAGCTTCCCTCTACCTCGGGATTCCCAAAGGCTCTCAAACACGAGAGTGGTCAAGCAATCAATGGGCCGGGGCTGTACTTTCTGCCCCGCAGCGTCCAAGGTATGCCAGCCTTTAGAAGGCACCTTGGTGCACCAAGGCATTATACATTCTGGGGCCATCACCTGATCTTCCTACAGTCACTTTGTGCAAAATTGAAACAGTGTGTGGTACTTGCATGTTTCATTCTATACAAAAATTCCCCTCCCTCCCCTACCCCTATGTTTTAAACATTTATATAAATTCTTATTTAAACAGTAAGTTAGAAATCTTATTTACATTAATTTCTTTGTTCTTTCAAAAGAGCATCTAAAATCACATTCCCACCCTTTAATAGGATATAAATGTTCACCTAAATTGGTTTGTATTACTGATTAAGGAGAGAGAAAGGGAGAAGAACAAACCACCAGCTAAACTGTGTTCCCAATCTTCTACAAAATAATGTGACACGGATCAGAAGCCAGTTTGCCCAGGTCGTGCAAAACCCTCAATCAGGAAATCCCAATTACAAGTCAGGGTTTGGGTCATTTCTCCTTGTCTCCAAACTGACAAACTTCATCCTTTGAGGTATGGTTTATTTTTGTTTTTCTCTTCTCAGTCGTGTACCAGGTGGAGCCCCGGGGGCATCACAAAGCCCATGAGGCTGTCAAAGTTTCGGGGCTCTTCTGGCACTGGCCTCAATGGCCGGAAAGGGAGGCCTGCAGATGCTACAGGCTCTGTTCAGGGTCCCTGGCTCACAGAAGGTGTCACAGTGTGTCCTCTTCGCTGCAGCCTCCACCAATCATGAAACGGAACTCCTGGAGGTTCGAGACGCCGTGGAAGTGAACAAACGCGCCCGCCACCACAAAGATGTGAAATAGCTGATGAGAGTGAAACTAGAGGCAAGGGGGAGGGGGGAGGGGGGAGAAATCCATTCATTATTAAAGTCTGCTAAAGAGTCTTCACGCCATTTGTGCTGAGCAAGGCAGGGAATTTAGGTGACAAGAGCTCAAATTCAAGGTGTCCACAGATCTTGGAATATCCACTGGGCATATCACATTCTGCTGAAGGCCAGCTGTCCCCCAAAAAGTCAAGGTGCTGCCGCTAAATTCTAACCATGAAGACGTGTACACATAACACAGGAGTATCTGGTGAACTCAGGGGCAAATGGCATAAACACACTCTTGCCAACAGACTACAAAGGCCCAAAGATCCCTCTGTGCCTACCTGTGGGCTAGTCAGACAGGGGGAGGTTTTCCTCTCTGCTGAAGGAGGTTTTTATCATGGCCTAAGTAAAGCACAAAGCTATGGCCAATTTAAATGTGCTCTCTCTCTCTCAGAAAAACTAAAGGGGAGATCCCTGGGTGGCGCAGCGGTTTGGTGCCTGCCTTTGGCCCAGGGCGCGATCCTGGAGACCCGGGATCGAATCCCACATTGGGCTCCCGGTGCATGGAGCCTGCTTCTCCCTCTGCCTGTGTCTCTGCCTCTCTCTCTCTCTCTCTCTGTGACTATCATAAAAAAAGAAAAAAAATGTAAAAAAAAAAACTAAAGGGATTTCCAGGATTAGGTAGATGTTTAAAACATATGTCTCCTTAGCTCTAAGACGCCGGAATTACACAAATGACATCCTATATCAAAAGGCCAGCAAAGCTGGCCCTTTTCGTTCCTTCTCAAATCAGAAGCTGGTCTATAAGCACATGGTATTTTTTTCTGATTCAATCTGTTGAATGGCTAGTTCATTTCTTAAAAGGGGTTTATTGATTGCTCAGTGAACCAAACATACTTCAAAAATTCTACTATTCTCTTTATCATCTCAAAATGAAAAAGTAAAGCTGCAAAACAGTATTTATCAAGAAAAAAATATTGATTTTAGAGGTGCAACAAGAAGGAGCCACATCTCAGGAAATGCTTCCCTGGAAATCAAAGGGGATTCATTCTCCCAAAAAAGTAGGGGGAGAAATATTTCCACAAGCAATGTCAACATGATGATGAGGCAATCTCCAAAAGACAAATTAACTAATTTGAACCTGAACAGATTGCCTAAATTAGCATTATCTTCATTTTATGGAGGGCTAAATTGAACTTCGAAGACTAGGTGATCAGTTTAGTCTACAATGATCAGCAACAGGTAGAGGAACAGAATTCCAAAGGTGACTTCATAATCAAACAACTCCGCAATTCTGTACCTACTGAAAATCTTTCAGGACATCATCAATTGCAAAATATCCCACCTATTGGTCCCTTACATTTCTTTTCTCCTTCTCTTTCACTCTCTCTTAACCACAATCTAGTTAGCTCTCCCTCTTCTTGCAACCAACACATGTATACACACTCAATCTCTCATTACAAATAACTGGATTTTAGTATCAAAAAGGACTCTGGTAAACAATCTAGTCCATCACCCTCATTTTCTAAATGAGGAAACTAAAACAAACTAAATACCTTGCCAGTTCAATGTAGTATAAAGGAGCATAGACTCTGATATTAGACTAGCCTGATTCAAATTCCACTCCTACCAGTTATAATTTGTTCTAATGTTGGACAAGTTACTAATCCCCCTAAACTTCATTTCCTAATCCTTAAAATGAAAATATTAATATTTGTTGTATCACAGGACCAACGTATTAAATGAGGTAATCTGTGTAAAGTGCTCATACAGTACCATACCAGCCACCAAGTCAGTGCTCAGTAAATGTTAATCATCACTGTACTTATCGTCCTGAGAAACGTAACTTAATGAAGGAGAGTTACTACTAAAATACAGGTCTCTCAATTTTTAGTCTAAACCTTTTTCAGTTATTTTACTTCCCGGTCTGCCAATACACACTAACAGATATATATGTGTACACACTAACAGATATATACCTGTGCATACTAACTGCCCCTGGTTCTACTTACCCAGATATCACATTTGCCAGGAAAGAAGCGCTCAGGGATGCGGGCAGCATAGAGGGCGGCGCCTGTGATGTAGAGGCTGGCCATTAGCATGAGCCAGCCGATCTGCCCTATGGTGGCTGCCTTCAAGAACCCCTCCGCGATGACATAGTGCAAGGTAGGAATGATTCCACTCAGACCAAGGCCCAAAAATACTCCTACAATCATAAGAATAAAATAAAGTAAAAATGCACAAGACAAATGAGGAAGAAGTCAATATTACAGCACAGTACTAGTAATTCTATAAGCTGAGTATTTCAAGTATGATGCTTGTTTGAAAGGGAAAGGAAGGTTCTTCAAACTCTGAGGATACTGCCACCCCAGATAGCACAGATATGTTCTAAATGATAGATCGATTTACAAATCCAAGGAGCCTCCCGCTGAGAGAAGCTTAACAAGTCAGCAGTCCTCAAAGGGTTTAGATATGTGTTGATAAGTGAGGAATACACAGCTCTAGGAGTTTAGACTTTCCTAAATGCTTCCTCTTTATAGACACATATTGCAATACAAAGCAATTTCACACATTTTATCTCTCCTTTAAAGGAACAGACATTCCTGGAGTTGGAGTGGCATGGACTGGTGGGGGTGGCAATGGAGGGGGGGTGCGGTTATGAATGCTCCCAGGCCCAAAAGTACCAATCCGGTACAGAAATCTATCAGAATCATTCCACCACAGCCCCACTGCCTTCAAAACTATCTACAGGGATCCCTGGGTGGTGCAGCGGTTTAGCGCCTGCCTTTGGCCCAGGGTGCGATCCTGGAGACTCGGGATCGAATCCCACATCAGGCTCCCGGTGCATGGAGCCTGCTTCTCCCTCTGCCTGTGTCTCTGCCTCTCTCTCTCTCTCTCTCTCTCTCTCTCTCTCTCTCTCTGTGACTATCATAAAAAAAAAAAAAAACTATCTACAGAAGTGTTTTTCAAACTTCTGGATATGACCTAGGTTATAAGATCAACTAAGTGAATTTTAGATTAGCATTTTTTTTTTTAGTGAACTACAATAAAATAAAAAAAAAATCACTGTTGCAAATGGAGCGTTTTTAGAAGTTGAACAATATGACTGTGAATTTATGAGTATATACACAAATCTGTGTCAATCAAACCACCACAGGAACACCTCATATGCTACAGCCAGTAACTGCTCCTACATTCTGACATAGGGAGTTAAAAATGACACTTAACTCTCAAAATACAAGACAAGGAGCCTGTTACTTGCTTTGGACATGACCTAATAAGGTGTTGGTATGCAACAATACATATACATGCTCATACAAATAAATAATGAGCATCTGTAAGAGAAGAGGAAAATGGCAATGCCCCTCTCATAAAAGAAGGGAATCAAGCAGGACTAAATAAAAACCTTTTCCTACCTCTATTCCTCACTAAAGAAAAATCCTCATGATCCTGTTTCACTTGCTATTTTCCTCCACATGCTAAACAAAGGCTCTAGTGGTCTTGTCTACCATTCTAGAAGTCAAAAGCTCAGGAACTTGGTTCTTCTGATGTGTATCACAGTAGAACATTCAGCTGTACTCTTATCTCCTGGGCTGAAGCAGGCTTAGCACCACAGTTTAGTACTGGAAGCCAACCCTGACCACTGCCTCTCTATTTATATAATCACTTAAAAACTTAAGTGGGTAGACTATTGCAGTCATTAACAAGAAGTTAATTCTTACTTCTAACCTTCTAGGTAGCTGCAGATGAACCATGGCTTGGATTTTAATATGAGATTTTCTTTTAAAAAAGGTCAAAAGGAAAAATACTCCTTTTACTAATACTTGTTCATTCTCAATAGGCACCAAGTTTGATACTGAGGACAGAACACTGAAAGACATGGCCCTGGCTATAAGAAGTCCTCGGTCCACTGAAAGAAACAAAAACATATCTCTGTGAACTCCCCACTCCTAGAGGAAGGTTCAACTTGAGGCTTTTGGCTTTCCATATGATCTCCAGAGAAACAGGCATGATCCTAAATATAAAAAGCCTCCTTATCCCTACATTAGAAGAGATATATGGTGTTCACTTTAATAGAATACAATTGTGAAGTCTTATTTACCTAAGCAGTACACATTTTCAAATAAAAATACAAAACAAAGAATGACAACAACAAAAGAATGAATCACTAAAAAGTACACTCCAAGCTGAGAAAGAGTAATCATTTTTTTTTTTTTTACACAGGTTACAGAACCACTGCCTTATGGGCATAAACTCTAGTGAATTACATTGGCCAATAAAGCTCACCATGCCCCTCAACTCTAAGCACTTTAAGACAACTAATGAACACTACTACATTAAAGCCCCTGAAGAACAGGGAACTATGACTTATTTATCTTTGCATCACAAGTACATAGCACAGGACTTGGCATGTAGACCTTTAATAAGTGACTGGTAAATAAATGGAATGTCCAATGTAAAACCTTCATATCTCTTACCTGCTCTTACTCCTCGATACTGAGGGGTAGCAAACATGTCCCACTGAGAAACTATAATGGCAGCAATGCCCAGCACACAGATGACAATTAAGTAGATGAAGCAAGGTTGTGGATTACAGTAGAAAGAATAATAAAGCCATGGAACAAAACTTCCCATTATCAGAAGAGCAATACCAGAGTAATCCAATCTAAAATAAGAAAAGAAAAATTCATGTGATGTTAAAAAGTATGGCCCACTACAGGTTCCAATTGATCCCCTATGACATGAGCTAGCACTAACAGACAAGAGGCAAACAGGGATGCCTGCTTTAATTTAAAAAATGTTTTTAAGTTCCCATCAGATAGTATCAGGAATTCTGACAACTGTGCTGGATGTTTTTCCCCAACTCTTAATATTTGATTACAATGTAGACTTTCTGATACTTACTTAGAGAAGAGCCGGGAGACCCCTTCTGAGTGGCAGTAGACTGTGTGGAAGAGCCATGAAAAAGAAAGGCAGAGAATGGCCCCCAAGAAGAATAATCCAAAGACCACCTTCTCCTGCAGAGGGGCCACAAAGGAGATGTTTGGGCGAAACATATAAAAGATCCCCAGGCACAGGAAGAATACACAACCTATGAAAGGAGGACAGGGAGAGAAAAAATGATCCTTGTCAACAACAGTGTTGTGTGTTGATGACATCCTCAGTCCTTCACAATCATGAATGATACCTGAATCAAAAACTCCATGAGAAAGATTTTCCAAATAACTAAAGCTTATCCAAAATTTTGGTCCACTTCTAACACTGCTGGTACCATATACTCCTGGGCTTCATAAACTGAGTGTACAGAAAATAATAATTTATTTATCTAAGAACATAATCCAAAAACCAGACAATGCTGCTAAATTAGTCTACTTCTACCTCTAGATCTAGTATAAAATTTCATTTTGAAAGTTTTTGGCATATATGTTGGAGCCCAGTTTTCACAGATCCATTTTGTGTTTGCTTTTGCAATGAATTCTAATACCTCCAAACTCTGTCAAGAAATACACCTTTTCTCTACCAATAGCTATCAGGGAACATTATGCTTCTCTGGTCCTCACCAGTTGGTCCAATAGATTCAAGAGTTAAGGACAATAAAATGCCTACTCATGCTATTTCATGACCAGTTTTTAAACTGCCTTTCTTCACAGTAAGATACATGTTCTTACTGCTTAGGGAAAGGGTCACTTAACACAAGGACAGAAATTAAGAGGTTAAACATGTGGTAAGTGACTGTTCTATTTAATAAAACTTTTACTTTTAAGTTAGACACTAGCAATGAACTGGATTTGACACTCGATTCTGCTCTCACTATACTAGCAGGTAGAAATTTGGGGACATAACAGAAATCAAATGTGTGATATGAAATGTAAGTCAAATGGGGTAAGTCACAAAAAAATTTTCACAAGGCTGTGCAACCATCTCTATTATTTAATTTCAGAATATCTTCATCACACCAAAAAGAAGCCCATACCTATTACATTCATCTCCCACTCCCTACTACTCCCAGCCCTAGACAACCAATAATCTACTTTCTGTCTCTATGGATCTTCACATTCTGGGCATTTCATGTATATGGATTATACAGTATGTGGCCTTTTGTGTCTGGCATGTTTCAAGGCTCACCCACACTGTAGCACATATTAATTAGTACTTCATCTCTTTTTATAATATTTCATTTGCAGGGATATACAACATTTTATTCACCCATACACCAGCTAAAAGATGTTTCAGTTGTTTCTACTTTTTAACTATTATAATGTTGCAGAAAACATTTGTATAGATGTTTTTGTATGAACATGTTTTCAATTCTCTTGAGTACATAATTAAGGAGCAGAACTACTGATAACTGTTTAACTTTTTGAGGAACTGTCAAACTACTTTCCATAAAGGCTGTATGTACCATTTTCATTCCTAATAGAAAAGTATCAAAGTTGTAATTTTTCTGTATCCTTGCCAAAACTTGTTACTTTCCATTTTCTTGATTACAGCCATTCTAGTGTGTGAAGTGGTATCTCATTACAATTTTCAAAGTATTTGATTTGCATTTTCCAAAATGACTAATGATGTTGAGCATCCCACTTTTTGTTCTTCTTTTTTTTTTTTAATTGAAATAGAGTTGACACTTGAGCATCTTTTCATGTGTATACTGGCCATTTGTAGATCTTTGGAGAAATGTCTATTTGTATGCTTTACCCATTTTTTAAACTGGGTTGTCCTTTTATTGTTTAGTTGTAGAAGTTATTTACTAGATCCTCATCAGATACATGATTTGCAAGCATTTTCTCCCATTCTGTGGGTTACCTTTCCACTTTCTTGATAATGTCCTTTGACATATAAAATTTTTAATTTTGAGAAAGTCCAAAATATTTTTTCTTTGGTTGTTTGTACTAAATTTAGGTGTTAATTGTAAGAAATTGTCACCTAATCCAAGGTCACAAAGATGTACATCTATGTTTGCACCTAGTGGTTTTATAGTTTTAGTCCTTATGTCTAAGTCTTTGATCCATTTTGAGTTAATTGTATAATGGAATGAGGCAAGGTCCAACTTGACCCTTTTACATGTAGTTACTCAGTTTCCCCAATACTGTTTGCTGAAATGACTATTCTTCCCCCACTGTAATCTTTAATATGCAATTATGATGGAAAAAATATTAGATTACATTCTACTTCAAGCAAAACTGAAATTTAATTGTGAATATTCCAAGTGATGATTTTGAAAAATCAGCTTATTTGTATTAAATAAAGCATCCTCCTCACAGTGTTCACTAAAACATTATACCACATTTTGTATAGCACCTTTACCTTGGCCTGGTTCAAAGACACTATCTGAAAATCTAGGAGAGAAAATTATGACTTAGCTATAATAAAATCAGAATGCAAACTAGAGTAACCACAGAATAAACCAGTAAGAAACTGCATCATTAGAAATTCAGAAAACAAAATGGCTGATCCCAAATACATTTTTTGTTTTATCCTTCTCCTCAAATACATAGAAAAAAAAATTAAAGTGAATCACTAATGCATTACGCCACTGATATTACGTACCTAAAAGATGTGTCCAGATGTTGCCTGTCTCTGTATGTATTCTGAAAATGCTCTTAAAACAGGCCCGGAAAGAAGGCATTGGGGGCCGATGTCCATGTAAAAGGAAATCATTATCCTTAAGCCAGTCTGGTAGTACATCATGAGGGATTACTCGCCATCGACCTTCCCATACCTGGAAGAAGAGTATCAGAAATCTTTGTGGTTTTGTCAATGTGGCAACACTGGCTGCCCTAAAAGCATTGTTTCAAGACTCATTTCAGTCTGGCTAAAGGTAGGGTCCACCTGTACAAACTCCCCTTCCCTTATCACCCACAACAGACTTTACTCTGAAATGTCCCTGAGATTAAATATGACTGTTTTTATACTTAATATTTCTGATGGTGGAAAAAGAACTACAGTTGACCCTTGAATGCTTGAACTATGTGTGTTGACTTATATGCAGATTTTTTACAGTATCATCCTATAAATGAATTTTCTCTTCCTTATGATGTTACTTTTTTTCCTCTAGCTTATTTTAAGTGTAAATATAGTTTATAATACATATAACGTACAAAATATGTGTTGAATTTTTATGCTAATAGTAAGGCTCCCAGATGATAGTAGGCTATTAGTAGTTAAGTTTTGGAGGAGTCAAAAGTTATACATGGATTTTCAACTGCAAAGTAGTCAGTACCTTTAACCACTGCATCATTCAGGGCCAACCTGTATATAGAAATCACTTTTGTGCTTCCTGCTAAATTCTCTCCCTCTCCCTTCTTTTCCCACCACAACAAACATGCTGAAGTAAAAAAAAAAAAAAAAAAAAGAAAGTACACAGGAGTCACAATTTTGGATCTCTACCATTAACCAGTTGAAGGGACTTTCATCAGAAAATCACCAAGTCTGTTTCCTCATTTATAAAATGAGGGTAATGGTACTTTGATTACTTCATAAGAATCAAATGAAATGACCCAGAGTACTTCACTAATGAATTAGTGAGCCCCAGCATCCACCCCACAGATGGTAGGTAACCCTGACCCTCTCCAAAGGCTATAATCTATCTAAGAGTTAGTGACTAATCCACCCTTTTCATGCTGGAGAGATGGCAAAGAGACTCAATGTTAAGAGCCTTCAAAAGTCCCATCACCACCACCCCACCCCCTTCTCCTTTTTCTTCATTGTCCCTCCCTCACAGACCCTAACAGAAAAGGGATCAGGAATTTGGTACCCGTCCTTAAAAACCTGTCAACCTGTGCACTTTGCTTCTTTTAATGTATTTCAGCCCAGAGAGCTCAGATCACAAGGATCACTTAATTCTAATCTAACTTGTTTCTACTAATCAGAAAGGTATAAGGAAAAAAGCCAGGTACATGATCTACCTATAGGCTTCAGGTTCAGACAATGACCCCACTCCTACTCCCTAGGTTCTTGTGACAAACAACATGGCCAGGCAACACAAACTCAGCTCTCTTTCTACTATGCAAAGTGACTGCCAGCTACTGAGCCCATTCTTTTTGCTTCATGTCTTCCTGTTCTCTGCTCTCCTTATTGAAAGACACTTGTAAAAGAACTGATCCTCTGTGTAACTCCAAAGGAAACGAGAACTAACAATTTAAGAGCAGAAGTGGCCCTCTTAACACTACTAAAACTCTCTCTCTAGCCTCCCCACTTCTTTTCTCACCTTCTAAACTCAAAACCTGAGGCCTATAGTTACTAGTGATAATCTGGCCATTCCATGCTTGTGTGTAACATACAATAAAATACAATAGTGCCAACAAAAGACTAATCTAAATTTTTAATGTCTACTGGTAATAGTATTACCACTTGTTGGTATTTTTTTTTAAGATTTATTTATTCAAGAGAGAGAGAGAGAGAGAAAGAGAAAGAGAGAGGCAGAGACACAGGCAGAGGGAAAAGCAGGCTCTTTGCAGGAGCCTGATACGGGCCTCAATCCCAGATCACGACCTGAGCCGAAGGCAGCCGCCCAACCACTAAGCCACCCAGGCATCCCTAGGATTACCACTTGGAAAAGTAACTGAGATCTACCAAAGGACTTTCTGGAAAGAATGATAATACTCCAAGATACTGAATTTCTTTTATCTAATCTGGACTTGAAAAAAAAAAGTGATTGTTAACATTAACTTTTACAAGATGCTATTCTGTTTTACTTTGGGAGAACTGTATTTTTAAGAGAGAGAAGAAAAGAGAAATTAATCCCTTCATCCTCAAGGCAGTTCACAATATGCAAACAGCTCTGCTGTGACCATATGAAAAGTGTTACCCCACACAGCCAAAATGCTCCCTTTTAGCAGTCAGAAAAAATATGTTGAGTTTTTTACTAGTTATATTTGCATATAACGTCAGTGATTTTTCTCCATTTTTTAAAAGATTTTATTTACTTATTCATGAGAGACACAGAGAGAAGCAGAGACACAGGCAAAGAGAGAAGCAGACTCCATGCAGGGAGCCCAATGTGGGACTCATCCCAGGACTCGAGGGTCATGCCCTGAGCCAAAGGCAGATGCTTAACTGCTTAACTGCTGAGCCACCCAGGCGTCCCTCTCTATTGTTTCTCAACAACCAATCTAGTGGTTTAAACTGAGCCAAGGAGCTATACTTCCATTATTATACTGAAGTTGGTGTCACATTCAACAGACACTGCACCCTCAATTCTCAACTTGGAGTCGATCCAAATGCCAACCAAAGCAGGCATCCTCTTTAACCCCCCCCAGGGAAAAAAGAACAGGATCACAGCTTGGCCAAATACATATTTCTTTATAAGCTTGACAAAGGCACTGCATAAACATCTGAGCAATGGTCCACTGGATTTATATTAGACCATTAATACACAAACATTTCTTTTTAATTGAAGGCTGAGGGAAAAAAAGCATGATGGAACTTGGATACTCTATAAAGACTAAATGATTTTATTTCCCCTATTCCTGTAAGAAAAGCTTTTCCAAAAGGGAATGTATACCACCAACACCCCAGGACACTTCATTTAAAATTGTTTACTTGCTTCCGATCCAAGAAAAAAAAAAATTGTGTCACTAGACCCAGTTAATTATCAAGTACACTCAATTGCATGACCGCAGTAGGCAGAGCAAACCTGGAGAATGCCATGTCACAGGAAGCCTCTCCAGTCCACTCTCACAAACTGCTAAAGAATAATAAGGGAATGGTAGTAAATTTTGTGTTCCATTCACTCCCCCCCCCCCCCCCCCAGTAAATCACAGTTCGGAGCTAACAAATGCCCTGTTTATTCTCCCATTAGCTGTTACACTGGATTTTTTTAAAAAAGATTATTTATTTATTTATTTATTCATTCATTCATGAGAGACACAGAAGGAGAGAGAGGCAGAGCCACAGGCAGAGGGAGAAGCAGGCTCCATGCAGGGAGCCCAACGTGGGACTCGATCCCAGGTCTCCAGGATCACGCCCCAGACTGAAGGCAGCAGCGCTAAACCGCTGAGCCATCAGGGCTGCCCTGGAAATTTTATTTACTTTATTCTTTACTCTCAGTTCAGAAAATGAGAATAAAAGGGCAGTCAAGGTAGCTACAGTTCCCTACTGATCTGTAAATATTAAAAATCCCTAATGGCCCAGACACTAAATATTCAACTTTGAGAGATTTAACACAAAACTTGCTTTATGAAAAACAAAATATCTCCTTTACAAAATCCCTGTGTGTTAATTCTCCTAAGACAGCAATCACTAGAAAGAATCTATGATTCTGCTTAGCATTTTCCTCACCAATTTTCAAACACTGATTAAAATTTCCTGTGCTCTGAGTAGATCCATAAATGTGTATACCCCTCCCCTAGCAGTCTCCATGCATCCCCTTTATCTTAGAAGGAATGTCTATAATCAGATTATGTTTTCTCATCCTCAGGTCCAAAGTACAGTATTCTATACTCAACTGGCCCCAATTATTTCTACCACCACTGTGAATGTAGGAAAACCTAATTTAGTTTTCAAGATCTAAGACCACATGCAAAAAAAGTCTTGGTTCTATGAAACCTATATAAAAAAAAGCTAAGAGTCATAAAAATTTCTTTCTAAATATTTAATCAAGAATTCTCCAGAAATGTTTAACAAATGAATTTATTTATACATACTAACATAAACAGACTGACATGACTTTGGATCAGTCCCACCAGGTCCCCATCGGTCAGATTATCAAGTAGCTTTAAACTTACCAGAGCCCCTGACTCTTTTCTCTAAGAAAGCAACCTCCAATTCCAGTTGCCATTTTAGAAGGGAAAAAAATGTCCACAATAGATCCCTAAAGAATCCGATAACCCATTATAAGATAGAGACAAAACATGCCAGCTGAACTAGAAATACTAAATCTGCATGAAAACTGGGAAATATGTATCTAAAGATTAGATTACTTACAGAATCCTTAGAAAGATTAGCACGTTGGCCATCACAGTTATTTAGAAGAGATTCAAGGGACTTGGAAATGGCATTTTACTATCTCTAGGCATCAACCATGCCCAACTTTGATCCTGTCTTATCTGAATTATCAATAAGACTTCTACTATGTTAACTTATTACATCAGGGAACACTTGTTTCCCAGATGGATATTTGAGTTTTATCACAACTTTATCATGTGTACTATAGGGAAACAAATGTGTTTTGTCTTAAACAGGATTAAAGTTTTAAGACTGTTTCTGTCCCCATTTCGCCACAGATTATCTCCAAAGTAAACCAACAGCTATGGTACTGCAACTCTCCTTAAAGATTCCTGTTTGGGAAGGGGTAAACATATAGCATAGAAATGATAACAAACTGTCATCTTACCTTACAAACAAATTCTTCCATTCTTTCCATAGCATGATGGGCTTGTAAAAGAGGGGACATACCCATAAACCCCTCATCTTCCTGAGAAGCTTCATCATTGCACTCATGTTCCTCAGAGATCTGTAAGGCAATCACAGAAAGTCAGAAACAGAGACCAGGAGCCAAATGAAACTATCAACACACTAACCTTGAAAAATTATAATGAAATAATTCCCTCTTAAAGTCAGAGCAAGGCCTCAAACAAGTAATGTCAGTTTATTATAGAATCATGAGTATTAAAAATGAACAACAGTTATTCAATTCTTCTCTGACAGAGAGATGAAATACAACAGCATTCCCATGGCTGTTTCAGTAGCAAATTCCTGGAGTAGCTTGAATGGTTTGTTTTTTTTGTTTTTATAATTATATTCAGATATATATGTATATATAATATGTGTATATATATTCTCTCTCTCTCTCTCTCTCTCTCAAGAAATTGCTGAGGGGGAAAACTCCAAGAACCCCACCTGGTACATATAAAATCAATAATTGTAAATACAATGGGGGATGGGAGGGGAGGAAAGAAATTTACTCAATTCTTAAGATATGCCAAGCATAAAAGAAAGGCCTTTGTATAGGCCATCTAAATTAATCCTGACAGTCTATTATTATTAGGTAAGTATTCTTATCCCCATTTAACAAAGAACATTAGGCAAAGAGGTTAAAATAAGTTGCCCAAGGTTAAGACTAGTCAAGGAAAAAAGTAAAAACTCCTACACCGTCTTTCCACATTCCTGACTACAAGAAGAAGAAATAATCTGGTTAGACCTTAAGGGATAAATCAATAAAATTAAGATTTCTGTTTCCAGATGAAGCTTCATACTAGTTTAGACAGAATGATACTGAGAAGGGCAATGGACCAGAAGTCAGGAGACCTAAGTAGTTAAGTGTGGTTTTGCCACTAATATAGATGGAACCATATATAGATTTCTCGATCTGAACCTCAACTTTCTCATTTCTATCTAAAATAAGGAGTTTAAAACTAAATAATCGGGATCCCTGGGTGGTGCAGCGGTTTGGCGCCTGCCTTTGGCCCAGGGCGCGATCCTGGAGACCCGGGATCGAATCCCATGTCGGGCTCCCGGTGCGTGGAGCCTGCTTCTCCCTCTGCCTGTGTCTCTGCCTGTGTGTGTGTGTGTGTGTGTGTGTGTGTGTGTGACTATCATAAATAAATAAAACTAAATAATCTCTACAGTCTTCCCTATCTCTAAAATTCTGAGATTCTGCAACTCATTGAAAAATGATAGCACAACTCAGTGAAAAACGACAGCACTAATTGGAATTCTGTATCAAAGAGTCAGCTAGATAAACAGGACAAGTTAACATGACTGAATGAAGAAATGAATAACTTTCTATCTCCAGTCAGAAAACTGTTAAGGATGAAATGTGTAGGCACAATAAGTAAGTAATCTACCACAATACTTGAATTTGAACATGTTTAAAAAGAAATCCTAAGATTTCATTTTCCTACTCTTCACTGTTCAAGATAACTAGGGGCTTAATATTAAGTAGCAGGTGAGACATGTTGCATACCCAATCTCAATTGTTACAAAGTTATGTTCTCCAAGAAATCTATCTTGATTCTGCTTCTCTACTATTCTTACTTATAAAACATCCTCCATTCATTACTTCCCTAAAACTTACCTGTCTGTCCTTCAGTGCCCAGTTTTTCTCAACCTTTCTTTCATGACTGCCACCCTCCCCTCTCCCACCAAGCATTTTTAGATTGCTTCTTCCATCCTCAGGAAATTTTATTAACACAATATACTATATATCTGTGGAGGGCTACAAACTGTGGAGGCCGAGAAAAATTAAGGCTATCCCACCTAAAGTTTAGCATTAACACAAGTACAGCCATCTTAGACCCCTGTGAATAAGAGCTGAACTTTAAAGGGAAAAACTGCAGAATGTCCTCAATGTCCTTGGCAGGTAATCCCATATCAGAAAGACAACAGAGCCCATGCCCATGGTAGAAAATCCCCTAGACCAGCCTATAAAAAACCCAGCTGTAACCCACTTTGGGGTCCAAGTCCCTGCTCCGCTGTGTCGGGTATACTTGGACCCAAGCTTGAGCATGTAAATAAACCCTCGTGTGTTTGCATCGGTGTTGGCTCCTTGGGTGGTTTCTCGGATTCGCAATCTTGGGCACAACACAAACCACTGTAATATTTTAGGATTTTTCAATCCCCTCTAAATCAATAAGTAATTTTCACCATAGAATGTATATATGCCCTACCTAATCCACAGCAACTGCCTCCTCTTCTGAACTTCTCTAGCAATTGAAGTCTGTAGCCCTTATTTGACAATGAATATATCTGAGTTACAGCTCTTTTTTTACTGACTTACACTTTTTTATTTCATGCTTGACGGAATTTTGCTTTTTTTTTAATGTATCATTTCCTAAATGAGATTTTAAGTGCCTATGTGGTCTTCTTTCCCACTGGCCCCCAGAACAGTTCTGTGTAATGGGTTACATACTTCACTATGGCTCAAGTAATTAATGCTTTAAAATTTCTTCAACAAAAAAATTTAAAAGATGCCTAATTAAACATAAAATAAAAATGATAAAGTACCATTAAAACATCAACTTACAAATAAATTATGCCAACAGTTTCTAATAAAACTACAAATAAATGAGCATATAAAGTAGGATTAGTTAAATGTTTCCTGCACCAACATAAGTAAAACCCAATTAAGTCAAAGAACTGGTCTGAAATGTCAATGGGATTACTTAGTGTCAGTAGTTTAGAATATCAGGCTAATAATACATTTGGATCCATAGAAGACTACTCCTAGAAAAAGGCAAGCCAGATTCCCTGGCAAAAGAAAGGGCATTTCACACAGTTAATCTTAGAAACTTAGATAGGAAAAAATGAGAATAGAATGCCTCTCTCCATAGGTACTCACAATATCTACATAAAAGAGAGATGAATGGTTCAACCTCTAACCATAAGGTTAGGGTTAATGACACTGTTGTTGGAGATAAATACGCGTTTATTGAAAGAAAAGTACATTCATAATGTAGGATGTATGGTCTGAGTCAAAAACCAACTAGTGGCCAATAAACATTGTTTATTCATTTGGTCAAACATTTTTTTAGGAAAAAGTGGCTTGCCATAATGGATTAAGAATGATTTTGAAGTCAGATAAACTGTGATTACTGATAAATTCTGTTATCTTTGACAAGATTACATTTAACCTAAGCATCAGTTTCCTTATCTGTGAAATGATTTTAAGAATCTGCTACAATGCAGATCTGTTTTAAGAATAAAAGATAATAAATAAAAAGAAATTATCAGGGATCCCTGGGTGGCGCAGCGGTTTGGCGCCTGCCTTTGGCCCAGGGCGCGATCCTGGAGACCCGGGATCGAATCCCACATCGGGCTTCCGGTGCATGGAGCCTGCTTCTCCCTCTGCCTGTGTCTCTGCCTCTCTCTCTCTCTTATGACTATCATAAATAAATAAAAAATTAAAAAAAAAACTATCATAGGTCTCAAGACTCAGAAGACAATAAATAAATGATGGTCTTTATTATGATGATGATGGGCTAGGTACTGGGAACATTAAAGTTAGTATCACAACCTATTGGAGAAGATATGCATTAAGTAAATACAGCAATGAGCTAGTGAACTCTATGCAAAAGGTCTGATGCAAATAGAAAAAACAGTTAATTTAACTTTGACACTTGGGAAGTTTCCTAAAAAGGTAACATCTGAACCAAGACCTGAAAAATGTGTAAGAGATTCATGAGTCAGGCATGACAAGAGAAAGACATAACAGATAAAGGCAACAGTATGTATCCAAAAACAGAGGAAAGAAAAAGAATACACAAAGAATACATAGTTTAGCACAGCTGGAGCAACAAGTAAATGTGATGTGAGACTAAAAACGTAAGTATAAAAACAATCCAAATGCCCATCAACAAATACATAAAATGTAGCATATACATATATAGAATATTACACTCAGTCATAGAAAGGAATGAAGTTCCCGTATGTACTACCACATGGGTAAACATAACTCTAAGTGAAATGTGCCACACACAAAGACATATTGTGCAATTCCATTTATATGAAAAATCTAGAATAGGCAAATCTGCAGAGACTAAAAGTAGAGAGAGGGTACCAGAGGCTGAACTGGAAAGAGGGAATGGAAAGTTGTATTTCTTTTTTTTTTTTTAATTTTTATTTATTTATGATAGTCACACACACAGAGAGAGAGAGAGAGGCAGAGACATAGGCAGAGGGAGAAGCAGGCTCCATGCACCGGGAGCCCGACGTGGGATTCAATCCCGGGTCTCCAGGATCGCACCCTGGGCCAAAGGCAGGCGCCAAACCGCTGCGCCACCCAGGGATCCCGAAAGTTGTATTTCAATAGGTACAGAGTTTCTGTACGGGATTATGAAAAATTGTGGAAATAGTGGTGATGGTCACTCAACACTGTGAATGCAGTATTACTGTACGCTGAAAAATGTCTAGAATGGCAAATTTTATGCTCTATGTTTTACCACGATAAAATTTTCTTAAAAAAAAAAAAAGGCACAGGGGTCCATAGCACCATTATTTGTAACAGTCAAAAACCAGAAACAATCCAAATGTCTATCAATAGGAAAACGAAAAAACAAGTGTGACATATTTATGTAACAGAATTCTACTCAGTAATTAAAAAGAACTCTAACATATAAAAGAGTATGGGTAAGTAGCAAAAACATGCTAATCATAAAGAGTATATACTAAATGATTCCACTTATATTAAGTCCAGCAACAAGCAAAGCAATCTATTGTGGTAAAAGTCAGAATAACAGTTATCTCTGGGAATAAGCAAGATGAAGAGAGGTTACAGACTTGAAAAAGGCATGAGAGAAGTTTCTGAAATGATGAAAATAATCTGAATCTTGTTCTGTGGTGATCATATGTAGGTAGTGTCATGGTGTTATATATTGAAGATCTGAGTAACTTTACTGTGTTTAAATCATTCCTCAATAAAATACTGTTTGTGTAAATCATCCCTCAATAAAAATGCCTTTTTTTTTTAAGATTTTATTTATTTATTCATGAGAGACACAGAGAGAGGCAGAGACA